TGGGGGGCTTCCTGGGGGGATGGAGAAAAAGAGCAGGTTGGCAGGAGGAGGGGGTCCTGGCCCGGGAACAATAAATCAAAGGGAAGGGGAGTTACTGCCTGGCCAAGGATCTTCTGAAACCCTGGGCCACAGCAGGAGCCCGGGAGGAGCAGGGCTGATGGCTCCGATTGGAGTCCCGCAGTGAGACTTCCTCTGCCCGCCTGCAGCGGCAGCGGGGCAGGCAGCAGGGCAGGCGGTAGGCAGGCAGTGGGGCAGGCAGCTGGGCAGGCGGTAGGCAGGCAGCAGGGCAGGCAGCGGCGCAGGCAGCAGGGCAGGCAGTGGGACAGGCAAGTGGCCAGGGAGTGGGCAAACAGTGGGGCAGGCAGCAGGGCATGCAGCGGAATGGGCACAGGGTAGTGGGGTAGACAGCAGGCAGGCAGTGGGCAATCGGTGGGGCAGGCAGTGGGAAGGCCATGGGTAGGCAGTGGGCAAATAGTGGGGCAGGCAGCGGGGCCAGCAGCAGGGCAGGCAGTGGGCAGGCAGTGGGCAGGCAGCAGGGCAGGCCTGCCTACATGATGTCGGGGTGCCGGCATCCCCAGCAGCACGGCCTGTGGCCTGTTTCTCTGCATGGCATTGCCAAATCCAGCACTGCCGGGGAAGATGCCTCACTGGGCATCACATGGCAGTGGTTCCCCCCCGGCAGGTCCCACAGCCGTGGGGCTCATTCTGCACGTTGCTCATGTCCCCACTGATGGGCTTTTTGCATCCTCAGGTCATTTTCCTGGGGCCTCCCTCCCCAGAGCAGCCTGGCACAGCCGGGAAGGGCAGCCTGGCACATGCCCAGCCAGGAGTCAGGAAGGGGCTTTAATTGCAGCTTATCCTCTTGGTCATTATTTTTAATTTACAGGAATATCATTGCAAGAGAAGAAATGTTTCACTGCCCCCGCTGTGCGGCAGTGCCATGTGCTGGGCTAGGGGCTGCTGCTGGCACTGCCAGGACCAATCTCTGGGTGCTAGTTCCTGGGTATGAGTCCCTGGATGCCCGTCCCTGGGTGCCAGCCCTCTCGGGAGCTGAAGCAAGTGCTTCACAACCAGCATCAAGCGCCTTCCCCCAGTCCCACAAGCAGCCCCGTCCTCATCGCAGCGCCGTGGGGGAGGCTCCTCCAGCCTATCTCTTCGGCGTATCTCCAGTGCGAGACGGCCGCAGGCTCCCAGTAATCCGGGTTAATAAACAGGGAGCTTTGCGGGCGGCGGGATCGCCCCTCGCCCCGCTCGGGCCGGGGTCAGGGGGTGCGCGCGCTGCCGGTGCCTGCCCGTATGCGGGAGGCGGCATCGGGCAGGCAGATCCCGGCAGAGCTCAAATCGGGGAAGCTCCGGCTGCCGGGGTGGGAGGAAAGGGGGAAATGCCTGGGGCCGGCCCCGGTAGCGCCATTGTGCAGGGCAGCGTGAGAGGCAAGCCCTTAAGATAGAGAAAATATCAAGCACGCTCCATTGTGGAGCAGATGGGGCTGATAGCCAGGGCTGCAATTAGCTCGCCCGCGGCACACTCAGAGCTCCGGGGCCTCTGCCTGCACGGGAAAGGACACCCTCCCTCCGAGGCACGGCCTTCCTCTGCCGGGCAAGGAAGAGGAGACGGGCAGTGGGAGAATGAGGAAGCCGGGGAGCCCCAGCTTTACCCGCGGGGCACTCTGCAGGGCTCCCCAGGGAGCCGTGAGGCTCTGCCGCTGGGCCCAGGGG